TCCACTTGTTTTCTTTCCTCTTAGGAAGTTTCTGAAGTGTTTATATATGTTAATTGCAGTATCAACAAAAATGTGCTTTATATTTCTTGGCTGCTTACTTTAAGACATTTTCAAAGCAAATTAGCAATATTTGTTTTTTTAAAAAATCACATCTTTATTATGAACAGGAGCTCTAGCAAGTCTTTGATGAAACATAAACCAATTATTCTAATTAGTTTCCAGATAATAAAAACCTTCTGGGTGATACTTAGAAGTAGTTTCTCTGCTGCATGTCTGTAAGGAAAAAAAAAATCCTCTTTTGTAGTCCATGTTTTGCTTCTCATTACAGAATTTTATCAGTATTTAATTTTAATGAAAGTAATAAACCAGCATTAGTTGGTAGGACAATTTAATCTTGAATACAACAGAAACAAATACACAAATATATCTACCTAAGATTTGGTTTCACCTTTTCATCTACCTCATCTGGAATATCACTATTAACATGTCGGACAACCAAGTTATATGGTTCCTCCTCCATTGTCTCTTCATCTGATTTCTGTTCCTCCTCCAAAGCCCACTTGGAACGTTTGTTTCCCTTGGAGGAGTCAGGGGAATGTTCTGCATCTAAATCATCAGGGATGCTGTCAAAATTAGCTTCTGCCAGACATTTGTGGCACAGTCTGTAGCGTCTTGTTCCTTGCTGAACAACACACCCTGTTAGGTCAGTCACGTGGCGCTTGCATTTCCTGCAGATCAGTTTGCCAGCCTGGTGTATCTGAAGAGATTGAAAGTTTGAAAATCAATCACAGAATCATTAAGGTTGGAAAAGGCCTTCTAGATCATCAAGTCCAACCTTCAGCCCTACATCCCCATGGCTACTAAACCATCTCCCTCAGCACCACATCTACCAATTCTTTGAACACCTCCAGGGACGGTGCCTCCACCACCTCCTTGGGCAGCCTCTTCCAAGGCCTCACCACTCTTTCAGTGAAGAATTTTTACCTGATATCCAATCTGAACCTCCCCTGGTGCAAATTGACCCCATTTCCTCTTGTCCTATTGCTGGTCACTAGGGAGAAGAGGCCAACACTCACCTCACTCCAGTTTCCTTTCAGGGAACTGTAGAGAGCAATGAGGTCTCCCCTCAGCCTCCTCTTCTCCAGGCTGACCAGCCCCAACTCCCTCAGCCTCTCCTGGGCTCTCCAGACCCCTAATCAGCCTAGTTGCCCTTCTCTGCACCCTCTCCAGCACCTCAGTGTCCTTCCTATACTGCAGTGCCCAAAACTGCATTCAGGGCTCAAGGTGCAGCCTCACCAAGGCTGAGTTAGAGGGGCAGGATCCCCTCCTTGGTCCCACTGGACACATTATTCCTGGTGCAGGCCAGGATAGGGTTGGCCACCTGGGCACACTGCTGGCTCACATTCACCTGCTGTCAACCAGCACCCCCAGGTCCCTCTCTGCTGGGTAGCTCTCCAGCTACTCCTCCCCAAGCCTGTAGCACTGCTGGGGGTTGTAGTCAGTGTACACCCAAAAGCAGATTTATTTGGGTGGGTTTTTTTCTTATGTATTATTATTTTTTTTTTTAGAAAAAGAAGATTCCCAGAAGCATTGGAAGCAGCCCACCGTTTGGAAGTGGTTCCGTAAATGCTCCAGGCGGGTGAACCTTTTCCCACAGGCTTCACAAGGGTAGGGCCTCTCCCCTGTGTGGCACCGAAGGTGTCTCTTCAGGTCCGCCCGTCGCTTCACCGTGTGTGTGCAGAAGGGGCACTTGAATCGCATCCGAGGTAGGTCATCTGGGACAGGGAAACACAGGGAAAATGCCACTGAATCCTAGAATCACAGAATGGTTGGGGTTGGAAGGGACCTCTGGAGATGATTGAGTTCCATCCCCCTGCCAGAGCAGGACCACCTGGGGCAGGTCACACAGGAACCCATCCAGGTGGGTTTTGAAAGTCTCCAGAGAAAGAGACTCCACAGCCTCTCTGGGCAGCCTGTTCTAGTGCTCCATCACACTCACAGTAATGAAGTTTCTCCTCATGCTGAGATGGAAATTCTATGTTCTAGCTTATACCCATTGTTTCTTGTCCTATTACTGAGCACCACCAAAAAGAGACTGGCCCCATCCTCTTGACACCCACCCGTCAGATATTTGTAGACCCCCCTCTCAGTCTTCTCAAGACTAAACACCCCAGTTCCCTCAGCCTTTCTTTTTAGGAGAGATGTACGAATCCCTTCACCATCCTCATAGCTCTCCACTGGACTCTTTCCAGTAGATCCCTGTGTCTCTTAAATTGGGGACCCCAGGTATTCCAGGTGTGGTCTCACGAGGGCTGAGTAGAGGAGGAGGAGAAGCCTTTCTTTATGTAGTAGTTTGATTATTTTTTAGCTTAAATAATATTCTAGGATATAAAGTCCTAAAAATATGCAATAATAAAATATAGGTAGATTAGTTTTTAAAGGAATACACACAAGGATATACCTGTCAACTTTATTTCACCCTCTCAGACACACACTGTCAGTCTATCAAGAGCTTAGATGCTTCATGGAGTATGGCCAAAAAGTCATAAAATTTGGGCTGGTTTGGACCTTAAGAGAAATTCAGCATCTGTCAGTGATGAGACCTTCCCTTGTGAAGGACTTAGACTGGACTTAGGTTGAATTCCTTTATCACTTCCAGGTATTGGGGACATTACAGGAGAAATTCAGTCCTTTGGGTCCCCAAGCCAATTACAGGTCTTGAGGCTTCACTAAACTCCACTTGGGTCCAAGTAATCTGGCATGTTTTAACTTTACAGAATACCTAAGTCAAGCTCTCTGATTCTAATACTCATGCCTTGTCCTGGCTTCAAAGTCTGTCATTCTGTTAGGCATTATCATAGAGGAGATAAAACAGTCTGCAACTCTAGGCAGGATTTTGGTTCTCATCCAAATAAAGGCAAACTTTGCAAAACCACAGGGATTTTTTTTACCTTCGTTCCAAGTACTCATGACTCCTAAGATGGTGGGCATTGAGGTGTACAGCTCCTCTGCCTTGAGCTCCATGAACTCGGGAGTTCTTGAAAGCTCTTGCTCCAGCTGATCAGCAGACCACCTCTTCGGCATCACCTCCGAGTCGTTGTTGTACCCGCGATCAGCATCATTCTCGGCATCCAGTTCCGCCTCTTCCCGGGCGATGTGGCTGGGAGCGGGGGCACTGCCGGCCCCGCCCACCCGCTCCGCCCGGTGGGTCTTGTGCTGCGCGGTGTCCCGGCCCTGGGACAGCCCCAGGTGCTTCCGGCGTTTCCTCGTCGCGCTCTGTTTCCTGCTTCTTCTGGAGAGCTGCGTCTCTGGCCGCTGCAGAACCACCTGCGAGGACAGGCAGCTGCTGTAGCTGCTCCAGGAGTTTTCATTTGCTGCGTTAGTCTTTTCATCCGGGATGGAACAGGAACGCCTTGGGTTGCTCTTGGCTTTCCTTCTTGAGCGGTAAAGGGGTGGATGAGCTGGTTCACTGCTTGTACTTTTGGCCGAAAGGCTGAGGTAATGATCCTTTTCCTTCTCATTAATATCCAGTGAGGACTTAATGAATGTCTTACAGACATTCAGGATCTCTGTCATCTGCAGGTAGCTGGCAGCAGACATCACCTCGATCACATTCTGACCAGTTAAGGACAATATGCCTGAATACACAAAGTCCAGGATAACCATAAACGTCTCTGGAGAGAAGACCTCAAAAGTAGCTGTTGTTGGCTGAGTGGTCTCCTTCGAGCTCTGTGAGAGGAGCATTTTGAAGTACCCGCTGCTGGCAAACAGCACATTGCGATGGGCCTTGAAGACCTTGCCCTCCACCAGGATATTGCAGTCACAGAACAAGTCCTGCTTCCGTTGCTCGTTGAGCTGCTCCAGGAGGTGAAACTGGTGGGAAGAAATCTCCATTCCAGTCAGGGAGGAACAGGAAAGTTCACTGCGAAGTGAAAGCCAAGAATAACCATGACAATTGAAACCAATGTTGCTGAATTCTAAAGAGATGAGCTCTATTTTATTAAACATGAACACCGTGCATGTCACATTCCCAGCCTCCCCGCAGCCCCTGTCCCGTATAATAATATGAGAGGAAACTGAACAACTCTACAAAGGTGAAAAGATGCCCCAGCAGGACCACAGCACGTCCTCAGCGAGCTAAGATTACACTGATGAAGTTGTTAACGGTTCACAGACCGACAAGAAGGACCGGCCCTTCCGCCGTGGGGATTGCCAAGGCTAACGGGAGGCTGTGCCTGGAGCTCGTTATCGGTGGGCACAGCCCTCCCGGATCGCACAGGACTGCACAAGGCAGCAGCGGAGCTCCGGTCCCGCAGCCCGCCCGGCCCGGGCTCCCCCGGCATTGGCGGAGGCCGCCGTCACTCACACC